CCTATGCTGTACTTCCCTCGGCGTATACTGTGTTTCCTGGTTTTTCTGGCTGAAGAATAATTGGAATTGGATATAATTCTCTTTCTAAAGATGTAAGACTTGCCAATATCTGGAATGGAAATTGTTTTGCAAGAAAAGCCAGCTATATACTATCCTCTGCTGTATCTTGAGGTAGAATAGTGGGGCAGATGGATGGCAAGAGAAAATCCCACCAGAAAAGGTAGCAGGCACTATGTACGTAGCTTCCTGCCTCCGAAGCAGGCCTTTCCATGAGGTAGAGCAAGGCAGCCACCACAGGTTTTGGGTAACATGAAAAGGCAGCAAATTTTACAGGTCAACAGGATATCCATTATGTTCCCACATTTCTTTTGACTATTCCACTGTGGGACCTCAGCAATATCTTCCACAACAACAGTGTCTCCAACTCTTTTACATCTGCCCATATGATCTATGCCATCCTTTGCGACCAGTACCTCTCTGCATTCTATATAAACAAACAAGAGAAGAAATGGCTACAGATCTGCTATCAAAAATAACAACAGAAATTCCAGGATGTCTAAAGGTTTAAGTGTAGGCCAAAGGTCCTTAGCTCACTGTGGCTGAAATCCTGTTAGACCTGGGGTAGTATAAAGTTGCAACTGCATAAATGGACAGGGAGTTACACCTAAGCAGCCCACAGATCTGATTGCACAATGAACACTGCAACTGACTATGTACTACTAACTGTGCTCTAAACGTGCACCTGACTGCACAACTGCACCTGTGGAACTGCTTCCTGGATGCAAAATTGCTCCTGGCTTGCACTGCTTCAAGATATGCAACCACACCTACGCAACATGATTTTGGTCTTTCACCTGGGTGCAATATTGCAATGGCTTCCACTACTTCGAGATATGCAACCACAGCTATGCAACATGATTTTGGTCTGTGTATATTAATATGTAGTTCATTCTATAGTCTTATTTATGGTCAGAGTTATTGACTCTGAATTCAGAACCAGATGTTGATGCAGGGAAAAAGCAAACAAGCTTCTCCTTGACTTATCTTTGCACTTCAAAGGCCAATCTATGCTGACTTGACAGAGAGGCAATCACTCTAATAATGGCTGGGAAGTTTCAGTAATCATCAGTCTCAGACGTTATTTCTTGTGTTGACAATGGTATTGTCACTTTGAAATGGCATTGTCTAGGTCTACATTCCTCTTCACTGGCTTCCCACCTCCACAGTGTGTATTGCATATAGACTTGTGGTTAAATATTTCTGTATTTCTATATATTTATATAAGGAGGTTGATTGTAATTCATAAGACCTTGCTCTGAAATAAATGCCTCAGTCTTGAAGGTGCCATAATCCCCCTGCTATTAAATTATGTTTTTTGTTATACACCTATTATAAGTGATCAAACAAAGCAAAGCATAAAGGTATCACGGATGGCTCATAACATTATTTAGGTATAATTCCCCTTTTAGGTGGTGCTAGTTATTATAGCAAGAATGTCTGAAGTGTGAAAGCACCTGATAAAAACCTAGCTTCTGAAATTTGGCAATATTTAATTGCTCACATAGCTAAGAACTTTCACATTATAAGTAACATCTTCAACACTGTACAGTGCAGACTCTTCAGAACTTGGGAAGTGCTGGGAAATCTGACGAAATGCTCGGGGACATTCACGGACAAGATCTATAGTGCTACCCACTGCATCTGGAAGCCAGCAGACATGTTCTGTAGCTTTTAAATCTGTCACCAGCAGGGGGCTCTCCTAAATGGTCATTCTATAGTCACAGAATTAGCCAGGAGATGTTAGCCTCCTGAGGACTTCAGCAAATCACCTAGAACTGGGTTGGTGCAGAGGACAGAAACAGACCTGGAGGTTGTAACTGCTGTATGCCAACCTTGCTTGTGACCTGGCCAGGATATGTTCTGGACACAGTATACCTGACATCCACTTTTTGGATTTCACTTCTCCAGAGAGGCTTACCTACATAGATATAAACAGAATGACCTCTACCGCACCAGACAGAGTATCCACATTCGCACAATTCATGCCAACACAGCTTGGACCCTGCACCTAATGCATGGATCTCAGTCTAGTTGTATAGTGTGGGCCCAGCAATTTCAATCTCAGTCCTCCCTCTTGTGTAGAGAGAGAACAAAAGTGCGGATAGGGAACACAAACTGTGATTTAAACACCCCGTGACTGCAGGAGGATTATGGCACCTTCAAGACTAAGGCACTGTTAAATGAGTCCATTTAACACATATTCATTTATATTGGCACATATTCTAAACTATTGCTTTAATGTAAACAAGTCCTGAGTGTACTTTCCCCCCTCTTTCCCTATATATGGGTATATTTTTCCAGCCCAGGTCTACTGACAGCCGCTGGAAGCACTCTGCTTGAAGTCTGAAATTGTGTCAAGTACAATGTATTTCTGGACCCCACTTGTAAATAAAGTGCCAGAAGTAAACTTCACTGATTATGACTCTCTCTTGGATAATCCAGTGTCTTCCTTGATGCAAAATGAATGGGGCAGAATGATAAACTGCCTAGCACTGTAGCAGCTATGCTAGGAATGGTTGTAGCTCTACTTTGTGAGAGATGAAATGCATGGGGTTTGTTTTCTAGCTAGTCCCTGGAAGACATGAGATTAGGAAAGGCTGGTCTACATTATTGTCAACTGACAGAGGTGTCCACCTTCCTGTGCATTTGAAACCCCTTAGTCCTACAGTAGGGATCTTTCTATCCCAGTGAACTGAGGTGCTTTTTCTTTCCCTTCCTTGCCATATTGCCTAGAGAAGAGGCAGAACATACCTGAACTTTGGCTTCAGTGGTCCCTAAAATTTGAAATAACCTTTTGTAAGTCATGAGGAAGAGCCCATCTGCTCCCTGTATTCTTTTAGGGATATAAGGCAGGAAAAATGTCAGCAGATATTTAATTTAGCTATTTTTGAGCTGGATATTTAATTTAGCTATTTTTGAGCGTACTGCTTGTCAGTTATCCTATTGCAACATGGGTATACAACTAACAGGATGATCCTATGCCTGTTTACTCAGCAGTAATTCCTACTTGGTGGGTAGAAGATTGCAACCTAATAGCTGGTACACTAATAGCATGTAGGATAAGATGGGCGGGGGGAAACTTCGAACTGATATATATGAACTTTGACTTGCTGGGGCAGAACTATAAGTGGGTGATGAATCAGCTGGTATGCAGTGTTTTCATGTCACTACCATGGAGAACTGTGTTTTGGAAAAATAACTTGCTTCTTTGACAATGTAATTCTAGATTCAGTTGCCCAGGTTTTATAGGTTTGTCAAGTGATGCTATGTCTGAGTCATGCATTCATCATCATCTTTTCCATTGATCACACTCTTGTCCTCCAAGAGTTGGAGATGGGAGTGAAAATGCCCTGCTGGAAAGACAGTTAAAGCTGTACCATTGGCATGGATCTCAGCACTAGGGCAACATGGAAAGAATCTTCTCCCTAGAAGGAAAAAGGTTCTCTTTCACCTTTATAGTTTGCAGAGCCACTGTGATCTCCAGTGTGCGGGAGGAAAGAATTTCAGTTTCGCTGGGTGGAGAAAACAGCATGATTTCTGTGCAACCCAACATTGTTCATTAAAGTCAAGTGCACAGGAAGGGAAAGAATGTCACTGTTTCTGAGCCTACAGACCTGGCTCTGGTTTCCCACCAATGTATGCAACTCAAAACAAGTCATTATCAAAGAGTTTGAGGTGGATCTGGAAAGAATAAACCTTCATTGTGTTCTGGTTATAAAAAAATGAGTCTTGGTTGGCTATGGCTATCAGTTGCAAATTCAGAATAATAGACAGGATTCTCTTACCAGGATACTTTCATGAAGCATTCATATTCGCCCTAGAGGAAAGGCCCTACCTAGACTTTGTGAAGATATTTGTGGTGCTGTCTGGGTGATCTATCCACAAAGAGTTAGCAACCTGAGATCTTCAGATGTTTCTGGATTACAAACTCTGGTCATCCCTCACTACTGTCTATGCTGGCTAGGACTGATGGGAGTTGTAGTCCAACAACATCTAGTGGGCCACAAATTGACCCCTTCTTGTGGTAGACTCATGGGGACAAAACGTAGTTCTGTGGAATTGTACAGGGGACTAGAAACAAAGCCTTGTGAGGAAAAACAGAAAGAACTGGGTATATTTAGCCTTTAGAAAAGAAGACTGAAGGAGATATGACAGCACTTTCCAAATAATTGGAAGGCTGTCATATTGGGGGGGGGCAGGGCCTGTTCTTAATCATTAACTGAAAAGTCCAAGACATGTAACAATGGCTCAAGCTACAGGAAGCCAGATTTAGGCTGAATGTCAGGAAAAAAAACATCTTAACTGTTAGAGCAGTATGACAGTGGAACCACTTAGCTCAGGAGGTGGTAAGCACTCCAGCACTGGAGGCATTCAAGAGAAAATTGGACAACCATCTGTCAGATCTACTTTGATTTATTTTCCTGCATTGAGCAGGAGGTTTGGACTTGATGGTTTGGACTTGATGTCAATTATTTTATGATTCTAATATGATTATTGTATTAAGAATTCTGCTGGAAAATGTACTGCTCTTCTATGAATTTCTTCTCTAAGGACTCCTACCAGAAATTCTGAACTAGGAAGAAAATCAGTGTTGTGCTCTCAGCCTTGGTCATTGTACTTGGCAGATGGGCAATTAACTCTATAGATAGCATTCTGACCTCTTCAAGGCTAGATTGTATACAATCTCCTTTTACTTAACCCTGTCAATTCAGGACAATCAGTGGCCATGTTGACTGGGGGTGGTGGGATTTCTAGACCAGTACCTTTGGAGGGAACTAGTATGGGGAAGGCTGAGCCAGGATAGCTGGCCTAGGCTAAATGTGAACAGGTAATGTAAACCTTGCTTCAGCTGCTGAGGAGAAGCATAAAGAATCAGCACAGCTGACTTGGTATAGGCTGACAGCTTCTGCTTAAAGCTTGAGGGGAGAGTCATACAACCTTCTTAGCCAGCTATTTCCTCCAAGCAGGAAAAGATCCAAAATCTGCCTGAAATGAAAACCAAGCCCAAAATATGATTGCTTAAATTGTTTCCTTCTTATGGGATGCTGAGAAGCTGCATTGGGAAATACTCTAATTTAAGGAGGAGTTTATTAAAACTTGGCTAAATTCAGTGTGAGATGGAAATCTGATTAGCCAACTTTAGCTGGAAGACTGTAAGTCATGTTGTGGTCGGCTGCAAACAGTGGCCATGCTGGCTGAAGGATCCTGGGAGAAATAGCATGAAGAAAAGTAACTACTCCACGCTCTAAGTTTGCAAATCAGTCACAAAAGTTCTCTGCCTCATTAAGTTGCATCCCTCTCACCTTACAACCAGAGCAAAGTTCATGGGCCAGCAAGGTGCAAGTCAAAGTAGCCGCCTCCTCTTCATTCCCCTTTTCCAGCATTCTTGCAGAAGGGCCATTGACTTGGCCACATGCAATGATCCAAGTACAGCACCTGACGGTAAGTCTCAAAAGTGACAAATGCGTGCCATTTACTCAAAGAAACCAACAACCAATGAGCATTTGGGAAGTTGCTTCAAAATCTAGGTTTTCAGGTTTTGTGCTTCTGGAAGTTATTCTTATACAACTGCCCTGTTCAATTCACAGAATATTATGTGGCAACTGGATGGTGGTATCTTGCATTTGTAATTTTCTCATGTTTTCTCACTAATTCTTTAGAAACAACCTGCTGCTGTAGCTGAATGAGCACTGATAACTCTGAGTCCCCAGTTATCCTGTATCACTCCGTATGTACACATATAGTAAATGAAAAACTCCTTATCTGTGGCATGCAGAAAAGTTGTTCCAGCAGATCACAGGCCTTAGTTAGCATGGAAAAGTGTTTCAATACACGTCTACCTATTAATTGCCTCAGTGTTTGCAGTCCAATACGAAGACTATTTTCTCAGAATTAAGTCTCAAGTGAGGTTTTATTTTTAAAGAAGTGTGATTGGATTGCAGCCTATGTCAGTGAATTACTAAAGGTTGATTGCTACCTTCTGAGAGATTAGAATGTACCACTTTAATGAATACAAACACATAAAATCTGAGGGGAGGGCCCTGGAAAAGGGCCATCTTGCAGGAAGTACCCCTTTCTGTGAAAGAAATTCTAAGTTAGTGTTTGTCAGTACTTCACACGCATGCCTTATCTAAAGAAAGAATGTCTTGTTCCCTTTACAAATATTGTTTTATTCCTATGTGACATTGCAAATTAAATCAATTCAAATCAGTATTACTTTCTGACTATTTTTAAAATTAAGTGTCAACCCTCATAATGTATAGATTTCCTTCCTGATGTCCCACTCAATAACATAAGGGCTTTTCTGTTCATTTTGTAGCGGGAGTGAAGAACATTGAAGCCAAAAGTGAAGAATTGTAGCTGTCCAGACAATTCATGGACTTCAGCTCCCATCTGCAGGAGCAGGCATGGAAAGTGTTCCAGGTGACAGGAGTTGTAGATTAGCAACAACTGCAGAAACACAGATATCCTATCCCTCCTTTATAAACAGTGAAGCTGTATGGCAAGCATGTAAAGAGGCAGTAAAACTATGTCAACTATCTGCCTCCTCATTTTAACAAACTTGCTTAATAATGACATCAAGGAACAGCAATCATTATGGATGAATCTCCTCCATAGATGTAAACTAGCACAGGGCTGATTTGACTGGATTAACTCCTTTCCTTTTAGAAATATTTTTCTGTGTGTCGTAACATGCATAGAGCCAAATACTTTTTTTAACCTTATATATTTTTACTTTTAAAAGTTTGGAAATGCTTACAAATTGATTGTTTGGTTTCATTCTGGGATTAGCCTTTTACTGGGGTAATGTCAGCTATGATGAACCATAGGTTTCTGTTCTTTGCCTGTAGGACTAATAGAGAAATCAGACATCCTAACCAGGATCTGACAGTTGAGTAAAAGATCAATGGCTTGCTAACTACCCTGTTTTCCCCAAAATAAGACCTAACCTGAAAATAAGCCCTAGTATGATTTTTCAGGATGCTCGTAATATAAGCCCTACTCCCAAAATAAGCACCAGTTAAGTGAAACCCTGCCCTCCACCATTGTGCAGCAACCAGAAGATGACAGGACTGTATTTGAATAAGTGTAGATTGTTGTACATGAAAAAAAAAATCCCCCGAAAATAAGCCCTAATGCAAAAATATATAAAAGACCCTGTCTTATCTTCAGGGAAACAGGGTATTATAATTCTTCATTCTGGGTTAACAGTGCAAAGATCATTTTTAAAAATGTTTGATAATAATCTGTTTATCTACACACATTTAAGCCTTATCAGATAGTTCTTATAGAACAACCTAGACCCATTTCCCCCCATAATTATTAATAATGAGTGTGACGTTTTCCATGTAACCCCTGCTTGTTTTCCCCAAACAAAGGGTTTACACTATGTCTTCTCACCAGCAGATAACAATTGGGATGTTCCCCCTTTTTTCACTACCACCAGTGGATCTCCTTTATCCACAACGTATAAAGAATTTTATACGTTGCTGCCAACAGGACTGATTTATTGAAAGGTATATGTTATTTATTCAATGCGTATAATCTAATCATTCAATTATCCTATCTCTTGCCACCTTCACCACCTGCTCTATTTATCTTGAGCAGCTTAGCTCTAGTATTATTATTTCTCACTATCTCCTTGACTATCTCTATTTCTTTTTCTGCTTCCCTCCGCTTATTCTATTTCTCCCTGCCACCTTCTTATATTCTGCTGACTCTGCCCCCCACTCCTCTCATAGGATCATGCAAATGAGACCCAGACTGTGAATGACAGGAGTGACGTGGGGCAACTGTTACAATGAGACAATTATTATGACAATTCCAACTTATGGCAATCTTCTCAGGGTCTTCTAGGAATAAAGAGCCCAGGAGAGGTTTATCAGCCCCTCTCTCTGGTGCTGCTCTGGGACTGTGCAGCTTGCCCAAGGCTGTAAAGGGGGGGGGCACTGCATGTAATCCCATCAGCCACACATGCTGTAAGTAATCGTGACTGCCTCCTTTTCTAGGAGGCAGAATGGGAATTCAAACTCCCAGCCACTGGTTCTGCAAGACACTCCAACCCACCAAGCTCCACCAACCCAAGTAGCACTGCTATATGGGAATAACAGGAATGACAGTTCAACACATTTAAGAGGCACTTCACTTGGGGAAAGCTGAATTATACAATTTACAGTCCTATACTCTGGGTTGCTTCATTGGTTGTGCCTAACAATATTGAACCAATGTGGTGTAGTGGGTAGACTGAGGAACTAGAACTCAAAAGAACTGGGTTCAAATGCTTGCTTGACCATGGACACTAACAGTAGGGTGGCAGTAGTAAATCCACTCCTTAAGTATCTCCCATACTTTTAAAACTCTACCAGGGTTGTTCTAAGTCAGCTACTTGATGGCATGTAACAACAAAAGCAATACCGAATAGGCTACCAGCTCCCACTTTTTACAAGCCAATAGTAGATGATGTAAGGCACCTGGATGTGGTTGCTTGGATTCCTGGTCTGAGAGCACTGAAGTGCTTTTAAGCCAACTTGGGCATTCTGGGTCCTGATGAAAAGTGCAGAGCACATGAGACCTGCTTCAGATCTTTGTAGTCAGAAGAGAAGTGAAGATTAAAAATCACATTTCTTACAGAGACAGCCAAATTTGGGATCTGCAAATGGAAGGAATCACTCAACCATTTTAACACCATTGTGGACCGCTCTTTTTCATGTACTGCATACGGAAATATGTTTACCTTGGCAAACCTCAGCTGAGAGAATCAGATATCTCCATGCGTGTCTTAGGCAGCAGTGAACATGACAACTGCTGTCAAAATACAGAAACGTAACAAGCAAATTTCCTTTTGGCATTTTTACCTACATCAGACAAATGCTACAGGATACATCTTGAAGGACACAAATCTGACTAACAGGTCTATGGATGCCTGCTTCTACAAGTTAGATATAAAGAAATTACCTCAGTTTATGGGATCTTGGTTTCAGTCCAAAATGTGAGCAGGTGTTCCGGGGCAGATAGGAGAGAGTTCTGCCTAACAGCCCTGTTGCCTGACAGATCAGGAAGAGACTTCCGCTTGGTGTGGTAGAAGCCAGTTCTGCTGCAGTGTATTCAGGCTATTTTCCCTTCTTTTGTTTTCCCTTGGCTGGATACTACCTTGTTCTACTGTGGGTCAGAGCCAGACTGAGTTCACGTGCTACTATAGATTGTGAGGCACCCAGGCACCTCATCCTTGAGTGCCCCTTTATTCTTGATGCCCTATCTGTTGACCTTTCACAGATGTTCTGATACCCCTGCCTAGTCAGACTGGGTGTCTGTCACGTAGGAACAATTGGTGAGGTCACAGTAGGCATTGCTGCCTGGCTTCAGGGCCATGATAGGACCCACTGCTGGCTCCTGATCTCAGCCCTCTTTGTTTTTTCTTTTTCTTTTCTTCCTTTCCCCATCCTGGTGGTATATGGATCACCTAGAGCCTAGGCGATCATAGATCTGTGAAGATTCTCAGTCATCTGGAAGCTGAGTCATGGCAACTGAACTTAGGTGATCTTATAATTACCCACAATGATCTGTGTAGTATTCACCCCTTGTTATGCAAAATAAGTCATGCATTATTCATGTCTTTGCTAATGTGGTGGGGGAGAGAGAGAGAGAGAGAGATTAAAAGGCAGAGCCTGAGAGGAGAAGTTAGTCAAGAGAGTCAGAGTCAGAGAGAGAAGGAACAGATATTAATAGAGCTAAGGTGGTTAAGATAAATATATAGAGAAGGTGGTAATTATATGGCAAGAAGTATGTATAGAGAGACCTGTGAATGATTTGTTCGTGTACAAAGAACATCTGAAGAACATCTGTGATTATTATTAACTTTGCTATACTTCAATAAATAAGTTCTGTTTGCATTTATCAGACAAGTGTTTGGACAAACAACAGGTAATCCACTGGTGGCAGTGAGGGAAACAAAGACTAGAACCTTTGTGAGGGCACAAAAAGTAGATGCTTCATAGAGGTGAACGTCACCTGTCCAACGGTGGGATCCAAAATAATCCAGTCAAGCCAGAGTTAAAAGTGAATTTTCTTTGGATCAAGGGTATCTTTTAGTCAGAGGTCAGTGGTAAAGAAGTAGGTTGTTTAGTAGTGGTAAAGCTTAATGGCGGGGCTTCTGATCCATCTGGGGGGACTAAAATAAGGAATGACTCTGAAGGGAAAATTCCTTTTGAGGTTACCTCAGAATTTGAACAGACCCAGTGGGCTAGCTTAAAATCCAAGGCTCTGAGAGTTAAGGGAGCGCTTGTGGATAAAAAGAAGAAGCCAGGGTCAGAACAGGTTGGAGGTGAAAGGAACATAAAAAGCAGAGGCTTGAAAACAGAATTTGTTTTGTGTCTGGAGCCAAGAAAGTTGTCTCAGATCAAGAAACATCATGGCTAGCATGGTGCCAGAAAAAGAGTAGCCATCTTTAGCTGCTGATTGAGAACTACATAGTACCCCAGAAAAACACTGGGAAAGGAAAACAGTAAAATAGTGTTTTAAAATGGGGGGGGGCTGACTAACTTTGAAATAGAAACCAGCTCTTATCAAAGAAGTGCACATGCTTATGGCAACCAAAATAATTAGAAATCTAAGAATAGAGGTAATTGATCCTCAAGAGGCACAAAGTTTACCCTAGGAAGTGGAGGAAAATGGAGACCCTCTAGCTGTGGAACAGGAGGAGACTCACGAGGGTGCCTCAGGAAGAAAAGGTGTTCTAAGCTGCCCAGTTTTTGAAAAATGGAAGGTGGAACAGGAATTTAAATTAAAGGAACTAGAAATTAAAGCCAGGGCTGAGGAAAAAGCTCAAGAACTACAGCTGAAGGAATTAGAAAATAGGGAGAAAGAGAGCTGAGGAGAGAGATAGGGAGCTAGAGATGAGAGAGAAAGCAGAGCAAGAGGCTAGACAAATAGAATTAAGACAAAGAGAAATTGAATTTCAAATACAGATGAAACAATTAGAAATTACTGCTCAAAATAATAACAATAATTACCGCACTAGTGAGGGAAATCTCTCAAAGATTGACCTAAGAAATTTCCCCAATATAGAAAAGGAGACTGCCCTGAATCTTTCCTTATATCATTTGAAAGGGCATGCTGGGACTTTAATGTTAAGGATGATGAAAGGATGATGGTTTTGAGAGCCCAAATAAGTGGAGATTTAGCTGAGCTGTATTCTGATGCCTCTGGAGCAGGCTAGAGATTTTGAAGTATATAGAAAAATTGTATTTTCTATATTTGGTATCAATGCAGAACACCTGAGGTGAAAATTTTGTTCCCTGACGAAAAAGCCTGAGGAATCTTATTCTCAGCTAGGCTGCTGCAATGTTTGGAGAAATGGATGGAATGTGAAAATGTCACTTCTCTTGAGCAGATGAAAAATGTGATTGGGTTGGAACAGTTTTATTCTATTTTGCATGGGGAATTGCATTATTTAGTTAAGGACAAAAATACTAAAAATCTATTAGAAACAGGTGAAACAGTGGATTACATTGGGGAGATTCGAACTACAGGTTGTCTGAGGTTAAATTTAACAAGCAGAACTGGGACAATAATAAGAAACCCTTTAGTAAAAATTACCTCAGCAAAGCATCAGGGAAAGAAGGCCAGGATAGTACTTCACTGTCGGGATCTGCAAGATGAGGGGAAGTAGGGGTCTTGCAGATGAAGCCTGTCTCGGGATCTGCAGATGAAGCCTCCCTCCCCTCTTGACCAGCAAGGAGAAAGGAGACGAGCGCTCAGGGGTATGTTTCAGGGCGGGATCCGGATGAACAAGGACAGTTTACCCTCAGGCATCTGTCCAGATCGAATCTTTTTCCTTTGCCACGCCCCCTTTATTATTGTACTCTACAACCTTTGCACTAGTTAATCAATACAGAGGTAACTAATTTCCTTGAATACACAGCAGAATAACCAGAGTGCTGGTAAGGCATAAATTTTCCCCACACTTCACCTTAATTAGCACTGCCTAGTTCTCAGACCCAAATGAACCCTGAGGAAAAGTTAAAGTTGAACAGAACATCAGAATGAGAGAAGGTCTTACAAGTGTTATAACTCTGAAGAGTTTGGTCATTTACAATTCAATTGTATGAAAAATAAACTTAATATTGGGAAGGATGATGGTGAGACCAAGGAGGTTTATTGTTTAAAAGCAGCTGAAGCAATTGAGAGAAGCAGTAACAATGGTAGTTCTGTCTCCATGGCAACTGGCACGACAGAAAATTCTGATCTGCGACTAGTCCAGGTCGTTCATTGTTTTCTAGTAAAGGCAGAAGATATTTTAGTTCATAACCCTGGTGAGAGGATTCTTATTAATGAAAAGTCTTGTGTAGGATGGTTGATACTTGTTCTAACATAACCTTATGTAATCCTGATGTGATTCCTAAAGAACAAATTCTCCCAAACCATCAAGGGAATAAGTTCAACTTCAGTGATTTTACCCATGGCTAAAGTGAAAATAAACTATAGAGATTGGATTGGAATTTGGGATGTGGCACTTTCTGATCAAATTCCTGCTTCTTATTTAATTGGGCTAAATCTCACTAAGCATGTGCAGAGTGCTTGTGAAGTAACAGGTTCCCTGAAAGAGCAGTTAACAATCCCCGAGGGAAAAATGGAATCCCAAACCTCTGACTCAAATCAGGGAAGCCCCAAGTTAGAAAAGAACCATGAGGAAGCAGAAATGGCTGATGAGGTCATTTTGAAAACCCCTAATGATTCTTCCTGTATTGAGGAACAGATGGAAGATAGTACTTTGAAAGATTGTACTACAAAAGTTAGAGAGAATCCCATTCCACTGACCCCTGAACACCCAGAGAGGTCTACTTACACGCTAAACCTGACAGAGAGGGTTTACATTTGACAGAGCATGTTAAGAGTGCTTTTGTACTTACACGCTCACAAAGGGGCCAGAAATCACCAACTGCAGCAGAAATGGATACAGTAGCAAAGGGAAGCTGGAGGGAGAAAGTCTCTTAGAAACTGATCTCATGCTTTCGAAAACCCCAAATAAAATTAGTTTGGCTCACGAGTAGGAGGAGGAAGTTTGTTTGGTAGACTACTTTGAAGCAGCCACCAGTACATACACCCACTTTATTATCTCCTGAATGCCCTGAAACATCTGCCTGGATAAGGAGCTTTCATATAGAAAAAAATCCTTAGAAGTGGCAGAGCCAAGCTAGGGAAGTACTCCTGAAAAAGAGAAAGGCTTGTATGAGGCCCAGGAAAGAGTATTCTGTCCTGAGAACCTAGCAGCAGAACTGAGAACTATAGAGGGGAGAAAATTGCTTTTGGCAGGGGCAGAACAAGTAGTCCTTACATCCTTGCAAGGCAACCCCCTTTCTAAACTTAAGAATAATAATAACTCTTTATTATCACTGAATAGAGAAATAGAATCTGCTAACAAACTCAGTGCATCTAAAACAAACCAATCGTTGATTGCACTTAAGAGAAACTGAGAAACACTATTAAAGTGACCTATGATAGTGGTCCCCCACATAGGGAAAACATTTCGATGAAAATACCTGTGCGTGAATGTGGGAGTGAGGAGGAAGGCGTAAACCCTGACGTCTTGAAGAGGGATGCATCCAGAGAGGCGTGAGGCATAAGCCCTGATGTCTTTGAAGAGGGATGCATCCAGAGAGATTCGGGAGGAGGAGAGGGAACTGCCTACCTTTTCCCCAGCTGAGAAAGTGAAGCCCTGAGCCAGACTTAAAGCAGACATCACTAACAAATAACAAGCAGAAGGAGGGAAACAAAGACTGGAACCTTTGTGAGGGCACAAAAAGTAGGTGCTTCATAGAGGTGAACATCACACTCTGTCATAGTATCACCCTGGAGGATGGGTAGGAATTTTCATGTCCTCCAGATAATTTCAGACTGCTATCCAATTGTAGGCTACTCCCACTGAGTAGTGGCCATGCTGGCTGGAGTTTTTGCAATGTGTAGTTCAAAAAGTATAAAGCTTTTGGCAAATCTAGTTCTACTTGTTATGGAATGCACTAGTTACCTACCTCGGTATTTTTATTTTATTTATTTATTTATTTATTTGATTTATACCCCGCCCATCTGGTCTAAAAGACCACTCTAGGCGGCTATATATATAGGTATGGAGGGCACAGTTACTTTATATGTTAACCCCACCATCTGGGGCTACATGGAGTGTTGCAGCTGCCTGGCACTGCTTTCAAGTGGGCACCGAAGACTACCCATAGAGAGCAGGGTCCACCACAGGGCTTTTTGACTAAGACTTCCTCCATCCTAAAGCTAGAT